CCCCCCGGGAGCCCCCCGTTGTGGGAGCTGGGGCAGCACAAACTCCCCGGTGGTTCATTATAAGCAGGTTCAGGGCCTGATTCTGCGCGAGCCGGCGCTGCTGGCAGAGATGCTCCCTGCGCTGGGAAGGGCTCGGCCGCGGGGGGATGCAGGCAGGAGCCCCCCTCGCCTCCCCCAGCAGGTCAAGGCCAACCCAAGCAGCCCCAGATTTATGTCCTACAGACGCAAACAGCCCTGGCGCTCCCTGGCCACGTTTTCCTCCGTTCACGTTTGGGTTTTTTCCCCTCGTGTAAAACAATCCCCAAGCTCTGACCCTTCGTTATCTTTGCCTGCGCCGGCTGCTCGCAGCTCCTCGTCCTCTCCTCCCTCTCCCCAAGCCCTCACCCTCCGGGTGCTGCGTGCCCAAGGACGGACCCACGCATGGAAAGGGCGATTCGGGGTGGTCGTGCTCGGCGGTGGAGGTGCAGCAGCTGCTCTGCAAGAGGGACCAGCACCATCGGACCGTGTCAAGGACAAATTATTCTAATGAGCTTCCTCCTGTAAACGAGCCGCGAGCAAAAGGTGCACGGGGAAAAAACCCACAGTGCTTTTGCCATGGTTTAAGCATCACTCAAAGCTGACCGGGGCAGCCAGGACACTGCGGGGTCATCTCTGCCTTCCCACGTGTGTGTGTGACCCTAATTTAAGGGCAGCTTGTGCCTGACATTGTCCAAGTGACACTTTTCCCAGGCGTGACCTGAATTATCAGAGCCCAGGGCTCCTCGTGAACCTGCACAGTGGGCTCAGCTTCGGCGCGCAGGAGGGACGCACGGACGCAGCCTAAAATAGATGCCGCTCCTCGTCCCCCCACGCCGCGGTCCCCAGGGAGGGCTGGCAGCCGGGCTCCCAGCTGGGTGCAGATAAGGAGACAGCGGCAGGAGCCGGGCTGGCTCTGGCACAGCAGACACAGCCAGTAAATTTCCACTGGGGCAGCTCCGAGTTAACGAGCTCAGTGCGTGACCCCAGCCAGAGCAGGAGCTGCCAGCAGTTGAGAGGAATTCCCCAGGAAAGCTGGGACGGGAGGGGACAGGGACCCTTCCTGCCTGAGCGTCCCCACGCAGGTCCCAGGGGACAGGACCCAGCCTTTAACCAGATGAACACCCCAGAGCAGCCCCCAGGGGTGAAGCTCACATGAGTGAGGAATAAAAGATGGTAAAAGGGGGGGCCGGGGTGTGGAGCTTGGCTCAGAGGTGACATTTGCAACTAAAAACCTGATGATTTGGGGATCTGCGAGAGCGTCAGCTCACCCAACGCGTCTCGGCTCTCGCTCCGTAGCCAAGTGTCCCATGCGAGCAAACCCGCGCCGGCCGTGGGAGCATCGCCGCCCCGCGCAGGTGCTCGTGCTGTTGTGTCAACTCCAAGGTCAAGGCTGGCGAGACAGGACGGAGCAGAGCCCTCGCTGTTCCCCCCCACCTTTAAAAAAAAAAAGCCAAGGCAGTTGCAAGACGTTTCATTGCTGGATTATTTTCTCTTTCTCCATTATTTTGCTATTTTGAAGGTAGAATCCAGAATCCTGCACTAAAACAAAGTGGGCTGTAGATGAACACGGGCTCGTTACGTACACGGGTGGATCAAGCAAGACCTACTGCCGGCACTTTTGGCCTCGAGACCAGTGAACTTGCGACCGTCAGCCCTATTAGAGGAGGGGATCCCAAAGCAGGGCAGCACAGCAACCGCTGAAGGAAAACAGAAGCTATTCAGAGCATATTACGGTACTGAGCAGTTACTGGAGTGTTTTTCATTTTGCCTGCTCCAGCCGCAGTGAGCAGATGACCCAGGGATGCTGCAGAAGCCAGGACCGGAGCAAGCAGCCACGGTGACAGCAGAAAAAAAAAAAGGGACAAAGCCTCGGTACAACCGAGATGCCGTTTGTATCCTGAGCTTTAGCCGGATGATTCAGCCCCGCGGGTGGAGGTGGGAGCTCCAGCAGCGTGGACGAGGCAGCGCAGTGGCAGCGTCTATGCCAGGCTCATCCCCACCTCGCTGCTCTGGCAGCATTGACGTCCCTGCTCCAGCTCCCTACGGACGTGACTCACCCCCCACGCGAGCGAGCTCAGACGTCAAACCCAGCTCAGCTCACTGGGAGGGAAAACGCAGCAGCCCCTTCCGCAGACGCAGAGCGGCCGAGGGGAGGCACCTGAACCAGGTCCGGACCCTCCCCAGGAGCTCCAGACCAGGGCTATGTGCTGTCAGAAAGAGCCGCCATAACCTAGGAAGCTCCAGCACCGTCGATCCCGAGGGAAAAAGCAGCAAGGCCCTCGCCTGCCGACACCACCTCTCTGCCCAGCTCCGAGCCCTCCCGCCACTCCTCCCGAGCCCCGTCTGCGTCTGCCCGGGGCCCTGCGCCCTTCCAGGCTGCCGTGCTCCGTGCTCGTAGGACCCCTCTGAACCTCCACGCTGACACCAGCGATGGGTGCCTCTTCCAAAGCAGCTTCCCCCCCCCCCCCCCAAAAAAAGGGGGGTAAAGCATTGGGGGGGGGAGGGCCCCCGCCCCCCTGCCACTGCAGAGAGATGCGGAGCCCACCGGAGCACCAGGAAAAGCTTCCCCAAAGAGCAAGGCTGCTCCGCGGCAGCATTTCTGGGCGAGAGCTCTCCCCGCGCGCAGCAAGCGGCTCGCAAATGGATGGCCCACACCGAGCACCTTTTCCTTCCCGCGTTTCTTACCTACCGCTCCGATACTTTAACTCACTCAACTGACTCGGCTCCTTTAAGTTTCCTGCTTTCAAACTCCACGCCAGCCACTTATCACCTTTCCCTTTTGAGTTTTCTTGCAGTAAGAAGCACTGAAAAGAAATACACAACCTTATTGTTCGCTTGTTTTCCAATACAGTGAATTTATTATATGTTGCAAAATCAGCATTCAGCTTTTTAGTGTACAAAAAAGACACTAGCTCTTAAGAAAAGATTAGGAAAGCTGAAGACTATGCTGCCTTTAAATTGTAACATTTTGGCAAAGTGAAAAGCTCTTTTGTAAACTCCAACTCCATGGCTCAATATAGTTTTATCCACAGTACAATATTACAAAGTAAAACACAGTATCAATAAGTTAAGATCATACTTAATCACCTAGAACTGGTTTCTATTAACCCAAAAAGCACAAAATTTGCCTAGCTTCATAATCTCTAAAGAAAGAAAAAGAAAAAAAGGCATATTCGACTACAATTCTTTAACACAGTCCGAAAGAAAAGTGAAGCAGAAAGTTGTTGAATGCTAATTGGGTCTCACAGTTTGGATATTCATTAAATATTTTCAGTTTTTATATTCAAATTTTAGAAGTTCCAGAATATACATGTAAATGTACACAATACATCTTTGTATACAACTCTGTTTGCAAAAATATCTTATAGCAGATGTATAAAGACTGAGATCCATCTCTATCCCCCTCCCCCCCAAAGCAACAAAAAAAACCCCCATTCAAAATATTAAGGATCAGAAGGAGAAGTGTTTCCACGGAAGAATTTACTCATCCTGGGTTTGTAGCTGCTGCCTCTTCCGCCATCCGAGTTCCGGGCTCCTCACGCACTGCAGTCGGAGATGAAGTCCCACCAAGCCCCGTGGCTCGGCGCGCTGCCGGGGGGGGGACGACGACGCTGGGAAATTCAGCCTTGCCCCCGAGAACACCGAAACTTGTGTAACCGCTGGCTGGCGATGCCGCTCGCAGGTCTGGCACTGACCGGGTTTTGCAGTGACAAATCTCACAGCGGGTCCGAGAAAGCGCGGCATCATCCCGGCTCCTCCACGCGGCCTAATGCCCCCTCCCGGATCCCCTGCGGCTCCGGTGAAATCCGCCTCGGTGCACAAATTCACAGCTGCGGGAGGTTTGTTGGAATCTTAGCCTAAGCGAGGCTTGAGCTCGGACACTGCCACCAGCCACCACTTACTGCTTAAGAAACTCCTGCACCGACCAGGTGCAAGATCCCACGGAGCGGGAAGACAAAGTTTTCAGGACAAAAGCTCCTTGCCTTTAACTCCCGTGTATTTTCCAGCTTTCCCTGACGAGCAGAAGCACCGGAGGCAGGCAACGTTACACAAATGGGTACGCCCACAAGAGAAATGGCTCCCTAACCTCCAGCCGTCTTTATTCGGAGAGGAAGAGATGGGACCGAAGCGTTCCCCAAGCTCCGAGATGCTCGTCGGGACTTCCCTAGCTGGGCTCTCTGGGGTGCTCGCCCTGCAGACCACCGCGCTCCTCGGACATCGCATCTCTTCCCTCCCCCCCCCACCTCTCCTTCACCGCTCCGTTTCTGAACGGGTTTGTTTTTGCAGACCGGCAGAAAAACGTGGCTGTCCAGTGGCAGTCCGCGGACCACGGCCGGAGGGTCGCCGGGCCAGCAACGCGCAGCGCAGCCGCGTCTCTTCGGCTGTAGGCTTTCGTTTGAAGAACGGGATGGCAAAGTCCCGGGGAGCGCTGGACGCAACGCGGCAGGGAAAGAAACTCAGAACGTTGCAAATGACAAAGCAAAGCGGTGGCCCTGGCCGGATGACGCAGCAAAACCAATCTAGCCAGAATGGAATTATTATTAATTTTCTTTTTTTTTTTTTAAAAATACAGCAGATGGACCCACTTTTTTGGGGGGGAGGGGGCAGAAAAAAATAAAATACTCCTTGTGTAAGAACTGTTTCCCTCCTTAACTCTGCCATTCCGCTCCTTCAAAGGGTGAAAGACTCTTCAGTGCAACCTCCAAGGGAAGGAGACGCCGCAGGAAAGTAATCCTTTACTTTGAGATAAACGGAAGCGGGAAGAAGTCAAATCACACAGGCTGGCAGGATTAAAAGGGGAGAGGGGAGAGAAAGAAATAGCAGAGTTAAAGGACACCTTTGTGCTTTTTGGCGTGTTTCTCACACCCTGGCCATACTCTAAAAATGTTCCCTTCAAGTCCAAAAAAAAAACAAAACCCCAAACAAAAACCCCAGAAGAAAGACTGCACGGAGAAGCTGGCTAGATAAAGCACAACGGTGGAAGTGACCCGCATGGGAAAACACTACCTTACTTCTCTCACGCTCGGGCGCCTGTTCTGAGAATGATTTTCTGCTGCTGCTTCTTTGGAAAGACACAAAAAACAGAAGAAGAAGAAGAAGAAGAAGAAAGCATCGCATCCCCCGCCCCCACCCCCCCTCTCATGGGTCAGTACAGGTAATAAAATAACTCCTCTGGGTAACTATCCGATAAGCTCTAGTAATACTGCTGTTATAAGACAGGAAAGGTTCTGAAACACTTGGCCTAAAAGGAAAAGGGAGGCACAGTTTTAGAAAAAGATGCTTTTTTTTTTTTTTTATACAAAAATAGAAAATAGTCTCATTAGCAATTAATAAAATTGGCTGCCTTGGTATAAAATTATAAAAGTCAAAGACAGACAGGTCTCAATCTTCCCAGCATTGGTACGTGAAGGTTAATGCAGGCAGACTGGACCCCGCATGCTGGAGAGGCCACTGCAAAACGTTTACACCCGCTGCTTCCAAACGCACAAGCGGATAAAAAAAATGGTTTTGTGGGGTTTTTTTTTGTTTTGATGGGTTTTTTTTGTGGTTTTTTTTGTTTTGGTGTTTTTTTTTTTATTTGGTTTGGTGTTTTTTTTTTTACATGAAGGATCCACTTCTGCACTGCACAAGGCACTCAGTGCAGATCCCCGGGCTGATCCCCTCCTACTGACACAACCACCTCAAGAGAGCACACACCGGAGATGACAAAAGCAGGAACAAACAACGAGAGCTCTGGGTACTTGGTGTATTTAACGCGGTGCCATGTAGAGCAGACAGCTTGCATATGAACAGTCGCAGGTGCCAGAGAAGGAGGTAACCTAGCAGCATTCCAGTTCCTCACCATTTGAAGGACAATTTGTAACCCAGTGGACCTGGGCCAGGGGTAATTACACTTCATGCCAAACTTTAATCCATGAAAACTACTGATTCTTAACCTTTGGGAGCTTCGTTCACTTTAGGCAAGTTTTCCCTTAAGTGTCAAACGCTGGCTTCAAATAAGCAGATTTTTTCATTTGTTACATTCCGACATTCAGAGAGGCTAAAACTCGAGAGGACCGTGCCGGGCGCTGGGCTTGCGACCCGGCTCAGACGCGGACATGACAGATTCAGCATCGTAAGGAATCCCCAAGTTCTTCAACCACGAGGAATTAATGCTCGTCTCTGAAAGGAATCTAGTTGTATAAAAGGGAACGTAACGTCCAGGTGACTTTTTTTGCCCTACCCAGTCCAGATTAGCACCAGCTAAAACTGCTGTTGGTCATACTCTGCTATCAGTTTTTTAATATGAGCCAGTTTGTTGTGGAGGTATTCGCAGCGGTTCTTCTCTTGGCTGTAATTGGGGTTAGTCTGTAAAGAAAAACGAAAATGCAGTGACGGAAGGCAAATCTTCAGAACTCGGTGACACCTACGCTGAACCCAGACGAGGTTCTCTCGGACCTCAAGAGCATAAACATACAACCAAGGAATGAAGCTTTTCTAGCTGGAGGAGTAGATACCCATTTAAAATGGACCTACGCTGTTCAAACAAGGCAAAGAACAAAATCCCTTTTCATCGATACCCAGCTCCAGGAGCCTCATCGCAGGGAAACGAGTTCACCTTGAGCGAGGCCCAGCCTAACTCAGAGCAGCTGGGCCACACACCTTAGCTTCCAGCAAGCACCACCTGCCCTTTGCCCCATGTTAGCACTGAATTGTGCAAGTCTGGGAGCTTTAAAACAAAGATGAACTTGCAACACACAGGGAATCTCTTCAAAAAGCTCCTAAATCCCTCAGGGAGAGCAGAGCTCAGGGCCATATTCATAGATTAAAAAAAAAAACCCAAAACACTACCAAACCCCACCCCTGGTGTACGGATGCCCCAGCCAGCCTCGGCATTTCTACCTCATCCAGCTAAATCGTAAATCCCCCAGTCAACAACTGTCGCTTTACGTACACATACAGAGATGTAAAGTATTCTCCATGCCCCACACGCCAAAAAGCCATGCTGAGCCCCGCGGGGGACTATGTACCCAAGTGATTCATACTAGAGGCTGCGCTCAAGTCATACCCCATACACCAGCAGACCCCAAGACCTGGAGGATCCTGTTATCACTCAGCCTGTGCATCTGGAATACAAACTGTTCTTTCACTTGACGGGATAAAGGCACTAATTTAAACATGTTTCGTTCTTGTGCTAGCATGCCGCTAACACAGCTGAATGCTCCCCAGGATCCAAGGAGCAGTCTCAACTGCCCACAAACCCTTTCTGATCCAGGAAGGGATCACTTATTGGACAAAGTGATCTCGAGCTGAACAAAGATCTGCTAGAAAGCTTCAGAGACTGGGTTTTTCACTTGGCAAGTACCCATCTCTCTCAGTCACTAGGGGCACCACCCAAAAGCCTTTTCTGTGGCCAGCTATTTTTACTTACCTTTTTAATTTTCCGATATTCCTGTAAAATTTGATCATGGATGGTCTAAAAAGGAAAAGACAGCTTATTATTTTCAAAAGAGCCAACAGTCCTGCAACCTACTGCAGTAGGCAAGCATTTACTGATGGCTCAGTGTACGCATTTCCTCCAAATACTGACAAAATCTACTCCCTCCATGACTTTCCCCGTGAGATCCAGTGGCTACAACCAGCCTCACTGACTCCGTGACTATATCAGCGCTGACACCAGAAGCACTGGAAGGATCAGGCCCCATGCCCCAGCCATGAGAACCACCTGTAACAGGCACTTGGGTTGGCAGGACAATTGACATTTCCTCCACAGCTCAGACTGACTTTTCCCCGAGATATAAAAATAATTCAGTGAGGAATCACTGAATTTCTCAAAGAGAGGGGAAGGATGTTTGAGGGAGGAAACAGTGCTTAGTACAATAGGTGCTCTGTAAAAATCTGTTTATTATACTCAATGAGACTTACTTTCTCAAGATAACGAATAGTTAAAGCTCTTTTAAAATCAGTCTGACAAGTCGAATAATGCTACATTATTAAGATCAGAGATTCCAGAGAAACAGATGACCCCGTACCAACTCCCCTTCCAGCCTCGATACACTACCATATGTGCGAATATGAGTTTTCTGGCTGGGATACACTAATAGCTTCCAGCAGCTTTTGGCTAAAGACGCCAATTGTCTCACTGAGGCCTTTCCTTGTCAACAAGTACCATGATGTGTGCTCGCTCCAGCTTGAAAACGAAAGAACACAGAGCTGTTTTAAGAACAGTCTACAGAGCTGTCAGCTGTGTGCACGTTCTGCACCCACCAGTTCGGGGCTCTGGGCAGTACGTTTTAGACACCAACCCGTCCCAAACAGCCCCGCATACAGAGCGACTAAAACGAGCTGTAGCATTGCCACTTGCAGAAATAGCTTTTGAAAGATATATTTCTGTTTCTACCTTATATTCTTCAGAGCCCTGCAAAAGTTGCTTCAGCTTGGCATCTAACTGCGTAAACCGTCGAGTTATCCTCTCTATCCGAGCGTGCAAGTCTCTGTACTCGTTGTATTCTGCATTGAAGTCATTTTTGTAACTCTGACGCTGCTCCGAAGAGGAAATGGCTGCGTATTTTCTGGAGGGAGAATAATTTAGTTAATTGGTTTAGTAAGTCTTCTCTCCAGACAGCACGAATACTGCAATGCCAAAACCAGGATGACAAGTCTACCAGGTGACTGCATTTGAAAACAAAAAGTCTCTTACGATTTGCATTACAGTAGCATGGAGGTAACTGTCAGGATTATTGCCTTGACCTGTGCGTAAAACAAGACAGTGTTTGCTCCCAAAATCTCCTATCTATGCCAGATAGGGTGGAATATGCAGGTACAGCAAAGCCTGGGAGCAGCTGAGGGTGTAGGAGGACATTCAGATAGCACTGCTACAGCTTTTCTAACTCCTGCTGTCCCACAGAACATGGAGTTCTGCATCTGTGCCAGACCTTGGAACAGCAGGAATACGATGCTTCCAGTGTTAAGAGTCTTTAAAGAAACACAAAAAGCATTCAGCTATCGTTGCAAAATGCTCACAGTACGACGATGTGGCAAGCGCACAACAAGAAACCATGTTGAATAGCCTGAATATATCTCCACTACCTTCTGAAGATACCCAATGTGAACTGAACACAAGAGCTCATGTGTAACAGACACACCTTTGGGGCGCTTTGAAAGTCATTCAGCTCAACAAAAAGCCATTAATCCTGACGTTTTGCAGAAAGCCCAGCAGCCAGTCCTCTCTGATGGTAAAACTCATCTCCTTGTAGGTGATGACTCTAATTTGCCACCTTACTCTGTCTGCGGCAGTGCCAGCTCGGTGCACGAACATGTATAAGCTAACTTAGGTATCAAATTAAGGGAAAACTTCCACTCTGTTAAGCTAAATGCACTCTAGCCTTCAAGAACTGACTCCTTGCTAGGGGTTGGTATAAATAAGCGTCTACACAGGATATGCTACTATGAGATAAGGAAGCTGTCCTCACCGGTATGAAACATATCCCTCCGTGATCAAAACAGCAGTGACAGCTCTTATAATTTAAAGAGCTGACCATCAAAACAGTCAGATCATGCCACAAGGCGAGACAACAGACCTTACAGGAGTTCATAAACCTTACAGGATTTCTTTGGAGATGGACCGAGGAGCTGCAATATCCCTCTATAGGAGGGATCAGCAACATCTGTCGCAGGAAAAAAACCCCAGCCATCCGCATTCTTCTGAACGGTACTAGAAGCGCCAACTCGAAGCGGTTTGTATGGTTCATACAGCCCAGCAAACCACAGTTTTGTAACCATACAAGAAGCCTATATATCCCCTAGTCGACTCCAGTGACTGCTCCTGCAGAGCCAAGAGTGGATGCCTCCTCCTCCATCTCTTCCCTCCCAGCGATCACAGCACAGCCAAACCAGATCTGACGGCATCAAAAATCCCGGCTGAGACGTGCACAGGGACTATCACCCACAGCTACGCTTCTTCGCTATCACAGAGCTTTGTTTATAACAGGTTTGGTTTTATGCAGATTTTTGGCTTTATGCACAGGGATTTTTGTGCTTCAGCAGACAAGTGTATTGTTTAATTAACCTGAAGGGGATCTGATTAAAAAGTCAAGAGGTGAAACAGCTTGCGTCCTAACCCATGGGTTATAACCTCCTCATGAAGAGTATTTCACTGGTTTATGTAGATGATCTTGGCTCTGAACAGGGGAAGAATTAGCTAACCTCTCAAAATCCTTTCTTGCCCTGTCTTCCACAACATTAAAGCAGATCAGTTCCTCTCAAAGTTTCCAGCTGTAACATGGAGATGTTTAATCCTTTCAAACCCTTTCAAGGTATGCAATGTTTCTTGAAGTACTTTAACAACTGGTTTATAGGAAGATAACCTTGAACTCCACGAGGAGGTCAAGAACAGATCTGATATCAAGTTTAGTCTCAGGAACTATCTGCAAAGTTGGATTTACTCCTTCTTTTTAAACCCACCTTACAAAGTTCTATCAAGTAACAATAAAGTCCAACAAAAATCCCCAGTGCATTGTGATTTTTAGCTTGCAACATGATCCCAAAGTGATGAAGCAACTGATAAATATACTTACAATAAATAATCTGGCATTTCTGAAGTTGATGTTGGTACACTAGAATTATTGCATGTTCCATTTAAACCTGAAAAAATAAAGACTTGTTTATAGACATTCTTAAACTTTAAAGCTCTATGCAATTAAACTTCAAATTCATGAACTTATCTGCAACATACAGTTTATCGAATTCTAAAGGATTTCTGTTTTGCTTTGAACTGACAAAGATAGAAGATCCACAATAAGGTGGTTGAAACTTCAAGGCTTCTCTAGTATTTGTCTGTCAGCAAAACAATGTCAACATTAGCCAGTGCACTGAGTAGCAAAAAACCTTAATTTAATTGGTTTATAAACACTGCCTGCAGGGTGGGATAACACTGATATCACCACTGCTAAAGTGCAAAACAAATTTATGAGTCCAGACGAGCAGAATAGAGACCTGAGCAAAGTGCACATTCTTTTCTCCTGATTCTACACTATACAGATTCCTACTATTAATACTCCCAAGTTCAGATTCCTACTCTTAATACTGCAGACTCCTACAGGGTACAGCAGAGAGGTTTATAAGGCACACAGCTTTTTCCTCACATAGCCCTACTGCCCTGTAGACAAATCGAAGCGCTCTCTGCTCTACGACACTGAAGAAACATGAATCAAGCAAGGCTCAGCTGAGAATGTTTAAGAGTTTAAGTGAAGGGACCAAAGACCTCAGGAGGAACGGGATTCTGAATGCGAGCCTAAACCAGACCCCATCCTCAATGTAAACCAAACACTGTTTTATTAGTCTGGAGGAAGAAAGCGGTTGGATACAGGTTTCAAAAGGCATATTTCTCATAAACTGTGTATTATACTGAAAGTCCTAATCAGAAAGTCAACTGCATCCATGAGAAGTCAGCAAAATAAGAGGCAAGCGGAGAAGGCTGCAAAGGATTTCACTCAACCGCTTTGCAAAAGTGTATTTCTTCCTTCCTCTTCTTTCCAAGTCTGTTACTTGGAGCAAGCAGTACCTTGATTGCACAATTTCCGCAGATGCACAGGAAAAGCACGTGTGAGCTGCAAGCCTCACCCATCCCTACATTCACCTACATTTCTTTATGGTTATTATCCCAGATAAACTGTAGGGAGCATGTAATGCTCAAGTAATAAACACAGGCACGTAAGAACAATAACCTAATTATATCTTTTTAAAAATCGATTTTTTCTCTGAATTTCCACAGAAAGGCCTTTCCTGGGCAGAATGGAAGAACGGCAGAAAAAACAGTGTCATTATAAACACCCCAGTCTCAAATTCCTACTGCAGACGTTTGCAGACAATTCTGTTTTCGTTAAAAATCGTTTTTTCTCTGAATTTCCACAGAAAGGCTTTCCTGGGCAGAATGGAAGAACGGCAGAAAAAACAGTGTCATTATAAACACCCCAGTCTCAAATTCCTACTGCAGACGTTTGCAGACAATTCTGTTTTCGTCCTTACCTGACCACCAGCGTGAAAGATGAAAGATGCAGAACGTGGGTAAGGAAGATCGTGGAGAAAGGGAGGAAAGAAGGTTTATTTTGCCTATGAGTGCCACCTACTGTCTGCTGAAAGGACCCCAAAGGTCCCCTCCACCGCCTCTTGAACAAACCTCCCAGGAGAAACTCTGTTTCCCTGCAGCCCCTGGCCCAAGGGGGACGTAGGGAAGGCTGCCAGCCATTTGCTGCAGACAAAAGGAGCAGGATTAGGCCCATGCTATCCGCATGAAGTAAGGCACAGAAGGAAAAGATCCCAATTCAGATGCGAGCTGGCTGTATGAAATCCAAGCAGCCACTTGACCACATCCTGTTTATGATTACTCCCAAGCCCAGCTCGGATTCGTTACCTCGCATACATCAGCGGTGCAGCAGGAACAAAACCCGACTCCTACTAATTAACAAAGAGCCGGTCGTTAAACTCTTTTTAAAGCAAAGCAGAAAAGGTGATAAAGGGTCAGCAACTTCATGAAGAAAGAATTCAGGGTATTTTGGTATTTATAAGAAACACTGACAAAAATATACATCTAGAGAGAGAATGTGTGTATCTATCCACTACCATTCAAGACACAAGGTACACGGGGAAGAAAAGCAACATTCACAGAAAAACCTAGGATTGACACAAAAGTTAAGATCAAAGTAGAAGAAGTATCTGAAGAGCGTGGTTCTGCAGTGCCACACAATGATCAGGACTATGGACTGTCATTAAAAATCACCGGTGAGCAATCAAAATGCATTTTGTAGGTGCTACAAAGACTGTGGGGAAGGTGAGAGCTAATATCGTATTAACCCCAATGCCCTATGAAGCTCTCCCTTTCCAGGAATTCAACAAATTAGTTTTCTGAGTTACTGTCCCTTTTGAGCCAAAACCAGATGATTTTTGTGCACCAAGCATGAAGAGGAACTTAAGTGTCAGAAAGCAGTAACAGGGCAAAGGAAAACAAGATGGATCCCAAAAGAAATTTAACAACAGATCAGGACGGCGATATTCCTAGAGGCTGCAGGCTAAAGTCCCACGGCTCCGGGGAGTTGTAAGAAAGCCTAACGAAACAGCAGAAAACAGGAACGCTGCAGGCACTGGCAAGGGAACGGATCGGATTAGCCAACATATATTCTCTGCTCCAACTTCTAAGAGTATGTAGAACCGACTTAGAAATATACTGGTTTGAGGGAAAACATCGCATCTCAAGGGGTAACAGATTCATGGTTGCGTTAGTCCCCGAAAAAACAAATTCAGAGTAATAGTGGGATACAACAGGGAAGCTCTTTCAGCCTGAAAGTGCTGGTTGCATACTGCTCTAACAGCATTTATCACAAGACCTATCTATCATTTGTTTTGTATCCAATATTAAAAGCTTTTGTGACTAACTTTTCATTACCGAGTTAAAAATCAATACAACAGTCATCGCAATACCAAACACAAGCAGAAGAGCTGTAAGTAATCAAGCAGCACTGCTTTTTCCAACAGATCTTGATGTCTGCCTTTCATCCCCATATATTAATATGGCTTTTAATTTAACAAGGAGAAACATGACACGGTCTGAGGTAGTTCCAAACAGCACGAAAGGTTAAACAGGAAAAACCTGATATCCTCTTTTGAGAGGAAGCGCATTTGTTGATTTGTAGGTAGGGAGAGCGATATTATTTCGTTACCCACACAGTCTCTGCAAGTGGACACGCAACCTCGTTCCTCAAACGGGTTTAGAGCAGAAATCACACACAGCCGATACCAATATTGCCTTAGCACAAGCCGTACAGGAGGACCTCTCGGACCGTACATACCTGTGACCTGTTCCTGGGGAACACTAACTAAGTCAGCATTTTTTATTACTTCACAGTCCTGCTTCTCCTCTTTGCATTTCTCTTCATTTTTCTTCTCCTTTCTCTCCTTTTCCTTGTCTTTGTGCTTTTTGGATTTTTTCTTGGTTTTTACATACGAGCTGCAATTGTGCTTGCTCGTTTGGGGACAGTCTGTTGACAAAGGATGAGTCAGTCTGTCAGCCGTCTCTGGGTTCTCACAGTCTCTGCCGTTGTGAGTCAGGTCATTGCTGACATCCGAAAGGGGATCGTGAGGCCTCGGCAGCTCCAGCACCGGGAGGCTGGAGCTGGAGCTCACCGACTCCGGGAGAGCCGGCGGCAGGGCAGGGGCAGGGGCGTCCTTCCCGTTGGAGGAATTCAGTTTCCCGTTGAAAGTGGGCTGAGTTCTGTGAGCCAAATGCGAGATCCTGGGCTTTTTGTTGGCCAGGGGATCGATAAACTCCAGAGGCTGGGATCGTTTCTGGGGAGGAAAAAAAAAAATAAAAATAAAATCTTGAAGTCTTGAGGCCAGAATTTTGGATGCTGTTACCACTAGGTGGTGGTGCAGTACCAGAGAACAGGGGAGTATCCCCAGAAAAAGAGCTCTGCTATCAATGAGAGCTGCCAGCAAGTGTCCCAGCTCAGAGGCTGGTCCTGGGCACAGGCTCCAGGACCGCCAGGTCTTACAGAAGCTGATCCATCCCAAGCTGCTTCCTGACAGTCCCGACAGCCGCTCTGGAGCCCGCAGCTCTTACAGAAACCTGCCATCCCATCAGCAATTATTGATCTCCTGCACTATTCATACACAGGCCATGCAACCCAGCCTGCTCTCGTGGCATCTTACTTCAAATCTAGCCCTTTAGAAGTAAAACCCTGTCCTTCACTCTCCCCCTGTCCCAGTCCCTTAGCAGAGAACAGAAACAACCATAAAAACATCTGTCCTTCTGGTCGTGGCGTGACATTTAGAGCACCTCAAAGCCCCTGCGAAGAAAAGATGTGCTCAGACCTCTGGAGCAGGGAGGGATTCACAAGTTCTGCATTTTATTCCCAACTGATTTTACCAACTCTGTGGGGAACAACTTCACCCTTGCAATACCACTCCTTCCTCTTCTCAAGAAAGAGGCATTTCCCAGAAGAGGTTAGAAAAGTGCCAACTGTTAAGTTCTCAGAATTTAATGCAAAAGAGGACATTTGTAGCAGTTTTAAAAGCCACGTCACACAGGCCAACACGACCCGTGGAAATGGGGGGAGAGAGAGGGAGAGAGAGAGAGGTGGTTCCCAACTGTCCCCACCAGCCCTACCTGGACAGTCACAGGCAGGGCTTGGAGAAGCTCTGTGTGCCCGTACCTCCTAGTAAGCAGTTGCCTACAGACTGGGGAAGCTGCACCGTGGAAGAACCCATCCATCAGTCAGCAGAAAGAAGAGCTCAAGGCAGAGCCAGAGCTTCGGCTGTCGGGGGCAGTCCAGCCTGAGCCAGACAAAATTACCTTGGACAGCCATCAGTGCAGCAGTGTGTGCCTGCCTGGCAGCACAGGGCTGCAGAAACTCTGAGGAAAGCTTATTTAGTGCCCAGAGGAAAACAAGTGATAGTTCTGGTTATTTCTTTTGGATATTTGATTGTTTTCTTTGTGTCTCAGGCAGGACTGCGATATGTTTGCAAATGGAAATTTTGTTCCATCCCAGAAGTGCAGTTGGATGCACGGCTGCTTTGTCAGGGAGCCACCAATTCACTCCTTCCCCACCCCCC